ATGATTCTCTTTTCCTGGAACCTGGAATCCATCTAGTTGCGTCATATATATTTCCTCCTCCAACTCTCCGTGTAAGAAAGCTGTTTTCACATCTAGTTGCTCAAGTTCCAGATCCTGATGTGCAACTATTGCTAGCAGCACCTTGATTGCAGTATGTCTAACCACTGGTGAGAAGATCTTGTTGTAGTCTACTCCCTCTCTCTGACTCAAACCTCTTGCAACCACTCGTGCTTTGTACTTTATACCTTCTGCAACAAACATTACTTCCTTCTTCTTGAAAACCCACTTGCAAGTAATTAACTTTCTATGAGCAAACAATCTAACTAGCTCCCAAATCTGATTCTTATGAAGAGACTCCATCTCTTCTCCCATTGCAGCAAGCCACTGTGCTGACTCACTCCCAGATATTGCAGCTTTGTAGGTGGGCGGCTCATTATCATCCACCTCCTTGGCCACCTACAATGCATATCCTACCAGATCATCGAACCTATACCTCGCTGGAGGTCTGACTCCAACACTTCTTGGTCGGTCTAAAGCAACAGTTCAATGCACAACTTCATCAGAACTTGTTTTTGGTAATATAGTCTTCAATTGATTTGTATCCTGCTCATCAACAACTGGTTGTGGTAGTTGGTTTTTGATCAACATAGGTGCTTGATTTTTCTGTGGAACAAATTGCACCTCCACCTCCTCAGCAACAACCTCTTTCTCTGCTGTATCACTGGTCTTTTCTTTGGCTTTCAGCATGGAGCTCTCATCAAAGACTATGCTCCTACTAAGTATAATCTTATTGTTATACCAAATTCTGTACCCTTTCACACCAACACCATAATCCATGAAAACTCACTTCTTAACTCTCGGCTCTAACTTACCCTCATTTACATGATAGTAAGCTGTGGAGCCAAATACTTTCAAATTTGAGTAATCAACAGATCTTCCAATCCACACCTCGTGAGGTGTTTTGCAGTCAATGCATGTGTGTGGGCTCCTATTGATCAAATAGCAAGTTGTTGTAATTGCTTCAGCCCAGAACCTTCTAGCAAGATCAACATTCGAAAGCATGCATCTAGCTTTCTCCAATAGTGTCTGATTCATCCGTTCTGCTACACCATTCTGCTATGGTATATACCTGATTGTGTGATGTCAAGCAATTCCATGATTCTTGCAGAACTTATTGAACTCATATGAACATAACTCAAGACCATTATATGTTCCCAGCCTTTTGACCTTCTTTCTTGTCTGATTTTCAACTAGAGTCTTCCATTCCTTGAATCTACTGAAAACCTCTCCTTTATGTCTCATCATAAATACCAACGTCATCCTAAAGTAGTGATCAATGATAGACAGCAAGTATCTCTAGCCGCTCAGAGATTCAACACGAGAGGGACCCAACAATCTGAATGGATGTAATCCAGCGTGCCCTATGTTCGGTGAACTACCTTAGAAAACTTGATGCGGTGTAGTTTCCCAAACACACAATGCTCACGGAAGTCTAGACTCTTGGTCTTGTGACCTCCCAGAAGATCTTCTTTCGACAGAACCTGCATTCCACGCTCACTCATATGAGCAAGACTCATATGCCATAGTCTGGTCAGATCAGCATCCTTAACCACTGATGCAACAGCTGCAGAACCTGTTACTGTAGAGCCTTGTAAGACATACAAAGTTCCATGCTTGACGCATCTCCAAATCACATCTGAACCTTTGCACACATTCAGACCTCCAACTTTGACTTTGAAACTGTAAACTTTAGTGTCTAGCAGACTAAGAGACAACAGATTCTTATTTAAAAGTGGAACATGCCTAACTTCCTTGATTGTGCAAAATTTCCCGTCTTGTGTTTTGAACCTAATTGAGGCGATCCCAATCACCTTGTAGACATAGCCGTTTGCCATAGAGACACTACCTTCATCTACGCAGCTATATGTTGTGAACAACTTCCTTGTTGGACACATATGATACGATGCTCCACAGTCAAGAATCCACACATCAGAATGATGAGTGTGTTCATAAGCAACTAGCACAATATCATTTTCCGAATCAACATCATCTTCTGCTACTGCAACAGAATCAGATTTCTGCTCTTGCTACTTCTTTCTCTTAGGGCATTCATTCTTACAATGACCCTTCTCCTTATTGTATGCACACACGTCTTTGGGTAATTTAGATTCTGATTTCTGATGCTTCTTTTTCTTACCCTTCTTACCATCCTTACTTCCATTTAGCCATTAACCCGAAAGCCTGATTGTTTGTACCTGAACCTGATCAACTGCGTTGTGACGCAGTTCCCTGTTGTGAAGCGAAGACCTAAACTCCTCTAGAGACACCGTTTCTTTCCCAAAAATGAAAGACTGCAAAAAATTCTCATACGACAGAGGCAGAAAAACCAACAGAATCAAGACATCGTACTCATCCACCACCTTCTCATCAATATTACGCAGATCTAGCAAAATCATATTTAATTGATCAAGATGTTCCCTAAGGGGCGTAATTTCAGACATGCGCAGGCGGAAAAGATGCTACTTTAGCATCAGCTTGCTAGTCATCGACTTCGGCATACAGAGGCTCTCCAACTTCAACCACAAAGCGGCGGCGGTTTCCTAATCTGCAACTTCTGTGATGACATCGTCAGTGAGACACAACATAATCATTGAATGAGCCCTCTCCTACATAGTGTTGTATTCTACAGAGTTTGCGTCCAATCCATTCTTATACTTTGTCAACGGTGCCCACAAACCATGTTGCTTCAGCAAAGCTTGCATCTTGATCCGCCACAAACTGAAATTGTTTCTCCTTGTAAACTTGTCGATCTTCATCGTGGATCCAGACATCGTTCTCGGCAGAAATTCGAACCCGAGCTCTGATACCACTTGTTATATCGGAATGGAAAACGATAAAGACAATGAACAACACATAGATTTACGTGGTTCATTAAATTGGCTACATCCAAGGGCAGAGGAGGATCAGATTTCGATTAGAGAAAGGGTTACAGATTACAACGGCTAGAGTTTACATAGCTACTACCCTACCAGGATTGGGCCGCAAGACATCGGCCCAATAGACAATATAGACCAACGACGATTGCTACCTGTCGAAGTGTGTGATTTAGTCTTCGGATTTAAGTCATCACAACAGATGGGAGCTTAGTATTATCTAGATATCAGTAAATGCAAGCGACCCGCTAAGTTTGAAGGGTGCGTTCGTTTGCCATTGGTACATGAATACTGCTCGTGGAAGTCTACGACCCTCCGCTCAGGGAAAGCCCACAGGGTAAGAGGGCTTCAGGTCCTGCATTCCCGTCTGCAATATCCAGTCCCTTGTGTACTCCGATTATATAAACTGTACTCACACGTCTCCTTCGAAACAAAAAAGTCTTTCCAAAATAATCCAGAGTCTCGATGAATGAAGGTTTGAGTTTTCGAACTACTCATAAGGTGATATTCCGGACCCTTCATAACTGTGCAAGAAGACATTTTGTGCTGAAGAACTGCAGACCGGCCGTGAAGCTCAAGCTGGATGGTAAAACAACAGAATTTTAACACGTAAGGGATATGCACTCTAAATGATGGATAGAGGTATGATCCTAGAGCATTTTGTTGCGTAGGGGAAAAGTGTATCTAGCTATGTTCAGAATTTAGGATACATACAGCAGACGTAAATGTCCATAAGAGCGAATATTGCACCAAAAAGAATGGGGAGACCCTATCAAGTTCGTACATGGATCAAACCAAAGTGGAAGGATGGGGTTAGGTCGTGGAAGCATCACAATGATCACCTTCTTGCTTTTCACACTCGGGTGCCAAGTTGCATGAAGGTGTCCCTACCAAGACGTAACCTCATTTCCAAGGCTATAGAGCTGGTAGATGTGATATGTAGGGGAGAATTTTCAGGGCGCTGCTATTCTTCTGATCTGAAAATGTGTATGTCCACCCACGCCAATGTTTCCAACCATAAACAAAGAAATACTTGTAAATCATTCAGATTCTCATTGTACTCATTTCAATTTTCAACATGCGTGTACAACGTGGAGTGTCAGTTATATTATTATTTTCCCTGGCATGTCGATTGCGCGATCGATTGGGGACTGAGTGAATCTCCCCATCCTGGAGCCGGAGGTTTCCTGAAGCCTATTCATGCTTAAAGCCCCGTTGATGGTCATTGCACCAGAGCTACTGACATAATCACGGCCTATCAAACAATCCCGAGACTGAGTTGGAGTGACCTCTTACCTACTTTCAGGTGGTGCCAGTCACAGCCCAATGACCATAGTCCGTGCGCCATCGTTTCGAGATAAGAAGATGTGAAGTGACGAAAGAGGTTGGGACTACACGAAGAAATAGACGGCCAACAGTTGTTTGAAAGTGGATACGGTTTACTTTGTGGGGATGAGATCTACAGAAAACAACACAGGAACCAAACAGAAGACAAGCTGAAAATGCAAGTGTGTGAACATGAGGGTAATATAGTGCAAGAAGATCAGAGCATAGATCAACCATGTACGACATAGTACGCAGACACGCATCAAGAATCAGTTCCTTACGTCACCTGGTCGCCCAAGTCCACAGTCGGTCCGGTTCACGATTTGGAGATTGCCCAGTAGCGAATACATCCTTTTCGTGTATGCAATCATGTTGACATCACATTACAACTCCCGTACTACTTAGTCGGATTTCGATGACATGCTTGTAACGTGTCGACAAGTCTAAGATCCAGCTAAATACACATTATTCGGTACCGATAAGTGGGGACTTGCTAGCGAAAAAGCTCACATGAACTCTGCAGTGAGATATTCCAACAGTTCATATCGTAATGCTAGTGTTCCCGAAGTTTGTAAGTACCAATAGCTATTCGAGCATACTTTGATAGGGCAAGCTGCTAGGACGGACTATGAGATGAAGCCTATAAACATGATTTAAGGATACTTCTCCATGACTCCGTGACAGTTTGTCATAGTTTTGATTTTTAGAATTTTGTCTTCGATTGTGTATGTTGATTGCTTCACGACACCAAATTCTAATTGTGTTGTCGGTAAAACCTCTTTAAATAGCAATATTTTCCAAATGGGGAAAAAGTCGTGTCTGCTCTGAAAGGAGGCGGTAAACCTATAACGATCCACGGGAATGTGAAGATCCTGACCATGACCCACTAACTACTTTAGCTTACTTACGAATTAGGATGATCATGCCAAAAGGCCCACTTTCCTTGAAAAGCGCCTGATTCAGCTTCTTTTTTTCAATTAACAATGCTCTCGCGGGCTATGTTGAGTCTGCACATGTGTATAAGGCTTCTATACCCGTACCCAACGTCACACATGACATAGGGCCCCGAGCTTTCCCATCTTTCTTCAGTCCCGTGATGGTTTAGTGTATATACTCTAAGCCATAACCCTACAAATTGGTACGTATCAACAAAATAATTGCAACATCTACCCACGTTCACGATGACACTTACCAGAGAAGTCTTCTAGGAAGCATCGTCTAAATCTAAATAACAACCCTTGACAAATATGTGATAACGTCCATGCTGTGGTTGAGATTTGCGAGGTGCGTAACATTATATGGAATGAAAGAGTCCAAAGAAGAAATAGAAATTCACCATGCTAGAATAATTGATCTTTCGCAGTGCTTGAATTGTGAATTCTTCGACCTAGACACTGTCCTCTTGAAGAACTCCTGTGAAGAGCCAAGGAGGCAAGTTGTAAGATCATTTAGAACAATGATCGAAAAGTTCCACTAGAAAGGCGCCCACGTTACGGGGCTGAAAATGAAACCTTGGTCATAGACAGACACCTGAAATATTTCACCACAGATTCTACACATGATTTAAAGATAGAAGTAGAGTCAGACTAACACCGGTCATCCCTGTATACTACATCTCCTTCGTACAAATCTCGGCATTTGCTAACATGAACTGGTCGAACTTTTACAGGCTCCAATCAATCTTAACCACATCATGGTTCCTTCCTTTATTTTAACGGCAAATGCTAAATCGTGTGACAATATAAAGTTGTCGTGCAATGCTCAGCATCATAAACAAACATTATGAATGAGAAAAAATCCACGGCTGTCACATCCCTACAGCCAACATAAGGCCAAATAAAAATAAAATAGAAGTAAGAGAAGAAGAGCCTCACGAGATTGGCCAGACACGACTCTAGCTAGAGAAGCTCGAAGATGCGGTACACCAGCTCCGCTTTTGGAGCTCACCATCATCTGTCCAGAACCAAGGTATCTCAATCTGTTAGCGTAACAGATCATTCTGAACGAAGGCGTGAAAAAGCTGTAAAACTGGCAGGAGAGATTTAACCACGACACGGATAAATTCAGTTGCATGGAACAATCCCCGATTGAATGAAAAGAAAATTATTCAACGATGTAATGGCTAAACAAACATACCAAAGGTTGTACGAGGCATTTGTGGTTTTTGAGAGTCTGCGAGGGCAAAGAGTTCCATTGTCATTCAAAACACTCGTAAAAGATGTATTGCTGGTACAAGAGAGAAGTTAACCTTGTTAACTGAACATCTAAAAAGCATTAAATATCTCTGATCTTACGATCGTAGCCATCATTTTGCAGCGCAACCCACTTCATATCCTAGGTATACTGTACCTGAAGTATTTGAGTTGCGCGACGCGCAAGATCCAGGGGAGGAAGAACATCCGTCTTTGTGAGGATAATTTGATAGCGAGTCCGTGAACTACAAACATACATCATATTTATCAGAAGTTGAGAAGTACAATTCCAATATCAAGTAACAAGGATGCATTTATACTTAAGTGTACTCATCGGCATTATCTCGTAAAGGCCAATACAACTTGGATCTGCGCCACGGCTGAAAGGTGCTAGAAGTGTTTTAGAGGAAAGAAGTTGAACGCATAGCTGTACGTAAAAGAGAAACATGTCATCGCTTGAAATCTTACGAAAGGTAGGCGAATATGAAGAAATTCAGGACGAGATGAACAGTCCATACCTCTCCATGAGCTGGAGTAACTCTTCGTCTCTAGGTTTTAGACCCCATTTGGCATCCACAAGCAAACATACCCTCTTCAAATTAGGCCTTGATGCTACGTACTCCTTGACCTGCGATATCGTGTAATGATTGTCCATGAAATTAACAATAACGGAGAAAAGTTGACTGACCACGTCCGAGACTGTACTCAGAAATAACAGAAAGGAAAATAATGAGCCTCGGTGGTATAAGAGCAGAACATTAACTTGACAATGGACATTAACCTAGAGAAACCTCTCTACTACGATTAGCTCGTAGAAGATTCATAATTTACTGATGATATTTTCTTACTTCACCCGACAGCTTCCTCAAAATGCTCAGTGGTTGTAACCAAATATGGACAGGTCCCATGCTGTAGCATGAGCGGCTTCCCGAGGGAAAGGTTCAAGTTCAACGAAATTGTTCAGTGTGTAAGGGTTGGTTATAATGTTCAGCGTACAAAACAGAAAGTACACGTGTGCATTGTGAAGACTATGTCAAACAGATCTAACATAATTTCACGAGCTTTTCTTCCACTTTCACATACCAGTTGTTCCCAATCCTCCTTAATTTGCACCTTTGCATACGCAAAACCGTATCCTGGTAAATCCACCAAACACAGCTGGGTCCCAAGAGTGAAAAAATTTATGGACTGCACCCACATGGCAACTATATGAGTACAAGTAGGCCAGAATTTCGAGAGAGAGGCATTGGAAGACCCCTGTCACAGTGCTGGCCAGCAGACTCACTAAATGGAAGAAAAGATCTCTACTACATGAGCAAGATCTGCAATAATGTCAGGCTCCGAAGTCGAAGAATAACAATCAGACAAGGGTAAACATAAACCTGCGTTAGGCCCGGTTTGTCTGAGGTTCTTGCCACACCCCATTGCCTAGTTAGCGCATTGATGAGAGACGACTTCCCAACATTAGATCTACCTAAGAGATAACAACCAGACAACAATAACAAACGAGTCAAAAGTCAAAAGTTAGATTCGCAAACTCCATCATCTTTCAAACTTACAAGACTTAAGTACCAATACACATCTACCTTTAAAACTGAAAGCAAAATTCGTGCACAGAGCAAATCATCAATGATCAAAGGTAAACCCCATACTGTTCTAGGTAATATCAAAACGTCTGATGGAAGCCAAACTCGTCTTACGGTCTCGCATCCAGAGCCACAGGTCACTGCATTTAGATCCTCAATATAAGCTTTCTTATTGTTCACTAAAATTTTCTCATCTGCTTCAATGTACCGGCTACGTGAATTAGAGCCTAGAAACTGAGGCTGAGGTAGTATAATGACAAACGTGATACAACAGTCCCTCGATCCAACTTTCAAGAAAACTGTATCTCATCTAAAAGACGGACGTGTCGGAGATCTCAGAACGGAGGGCTACATTGCTGTTCGTGGAAAGACACAGGAAGAAAAGAGGTAAGGGTCGATGGTTCTGCTCTAGCGTCTGCACTAAAAAGTGAAGACCAGGAGACCTTTAGCAGCAAGGCTTGAGGCAACTTCAAAACACGACATTAGAGGCATTCAGAGTATGAGGAAATCACCTGCAAAAGCTATTTCGGTAAGTTGTGTTGTGGGAAGAGAAGATGCGATCTTCGCAGCGGCAATGAAAGTAAGCTTCTGCCTAAAAACCTGTAGGCGAGCCAAATCTAATTTAAGGTACTGAAAGTTCTTCGCACAGCTTGAAGATGATCCGTTTAAAATGTGATCAAAGTTCCTTACGGAAGCACATATCAAACTTTGAAACAGTCAAATCAATGACTGCAAACAATCTGCAGAATATACTAGAAAAAGATATTAGCACCAGAGTAACAAACAAACCTACAGTCTCCTGTATAGGTGCTCGTCTATCTTTCGATTCGGGAACGTCATCCAAGGGCGCTGTCCTGGTTGGATCAAAACCAGATCTCCGCCACTCCACCAATCGTCTCCGTCCTAATAGCTGATTCCAGACGTAGCACGTTAGTCCACCAACACCATGTTGCTGCCCCCAGGAAAGTCACTTGACTAGCGGAGAAGGTCAACAACTACGCATAAAGCCGATGCTATGAGATTTGCAGAGTTAAGGCAGTACATTCTCCTCGATTTGACGTAAAAGCTCTCGAGATGGTTCAATTTGCCGAAATTTAGCATTTGTAGACAAAGGTGCTTCTTGTGTGGCCTTCTGCACAGCAACTGGACTTGGTACTCCGATATCTGGAGTGCACGAATTCAAGCCTCTCTTGAATGTGATGTCGTTTGGACGAGGCCTAATTCTCTTTCTCCTCCTCTTAATCCGTTCACCTGAAGTGTAGACACTACGAGACTGTAGTCCGAGAAAAAAAGGAACTGATCTTTGGAGAAATCGGAGACTCCAAACCCTGAACAGGTAGTCTGGCCGTTAAAGACATCAGCGATTTTATCTTCCTACACAACACAATTTGAGGCTCAGAGGATCAAGCACTGGAAATACTCTCTCTTTTACAAAGTTTACTCACCGTCATCATTCGGCCTCTCCTCTGTCTTCAATTTCCTCGACAATCGTGGCTTAGCTCCCTGTTCAATACCAATCGTTTGCCCAGCTTGGCGAGCGGATCGCACACTAGGTGTCACCCGCTTTCTAGGACTTCTTAGCGTTGTCTTCGAGCGCCCTTTTCCTGTCTTTGAGTTTCCTCTGGCGTGCTCAGAATGCAAATCTTTGATTGAAGACAATGCTCCCGAAAAACGTTTAGATCTCGGTGGCTCTTCGGCATTCTTGCTTTTAAACTGAGATTTACTTTGTAATTTGAGCCTCGATTTGCCTTCAGGTTTAAACCTCGACTTGCTTCCAAACGACTTTTGAGGCCGACTAGCAACTCCATTGAAGGGGGATGATGCAAAGGTTCGAGGAAGAAACAACGAACCACCGCCAAGTGGTGGAGGTATACCGCTGTTAATGCATCTTTGAATGATGCTACCGGTGGTATCATAATATGAGACAGGGAAATTGCTATGCCAGTTACCGGGACCAGCTATAATTCCAGCATGCCACGAATTACTTGATCCAATCTTAGAGCTCACAACAGGATCCGCACCCCAGTGGCGTTCCAAAATGCCAGAAGCTCGACCCACGCGTTCCCTCACACGCGAATTACATGCTCGAAGTGATCTAATAACATTTGAAGCTTCGCCAAGCTCACACGCGGTAATCAGGCACTGTAAGGCTGATGAACAGACACGAGAAGTGTAGCCTTGCATGTTGACGCTGCTGCATCTCCTTGAGGTCCAGCGGCTGAACTTAAATGGAAATTTCTTCGTCAATCCTGAACAGTATTATTGAGAAGTCGTCCTCACTCATCAGCACTGCCATAGACGTCGATCTTCAATTAAATATTATCTGCGAGGAAACGGATATTGCTGAGCACATTCTCTTCGTAAATTCCAGTGCTGTCGTGTGGCTTGATAGAATTTCACACCTGCCTCAGGAATTCCATGCTTCGGGGTTTAGGGTTTTACCTCCAGAGCCAGGAATCCAGTTCGGTATTCACTCCCCAGGCTAGGATCTTCACATACCGGGCAAGAAGTCTATAACTACCAGAAAAATTACACCTGGCGTAGAATCATTTCGTTTCCCGTATACATGGAAAACTACGATAAAGAATAGTCAATGTCAACTCCAGTGCATTGAAGCTCTCCATTTTCTGGCAATTATTCCTTAGGCTTTATTTTTTGGATTCAAAAGAATTTTAAAGACAGGATACGAATAATCCTTTTGATAATCAGTACTCCCTTCTGATATTCACTCAGAAGGGAGTAAGTAAAGCAAACAATAATATAAGCTATCCATAAGCAATAACACATCCAATTTTCGGAGATTCGAAATTTTGAACTACAATTTGAAGTATTTGAATAAAAGTAAGTTAGACTCTCTTCTAGATAGATGTTAATATATATTCCATATATATACGAGACAGGTTAATTCTTTCATTTCCTCTTAATTCTCAATCAATAAGCACTTTCGCAAGAGATGTTTAATAAAAGAAAATTCGGTTATCTGACTATGACCAAAAACCCCTACATTTTCTTTGGGTTGTAGGTATGAAGAGTATTATGTTGTCCAATAATTTTTCCTATCAAATCATATTAAAATTCCTATATTCTTTAAGATTTATTTCTAAATAAACATTATATAAAGGATTTTGATAGAGTTTGATAAATTCAAGTGATCATTGAGTAAGTCAATGATTATTGCTGTTCCAAATGTAACAATCAGATTTGATTATTAAATACAGAATGTTTGATGAACACAAGACTAAAGTTTAGAATGATATTAAGTAAAAACAAATTACTCAGAATATGCTGCAAAACATTCAGAAGAATGAGAATAAATTGCTTTTGAGAAAAAAGAATATATTTTCAATGGTAAAAAAGGTCTAATTTGATGACACATTTAAATAAATCTGAGGACTAAAAAATTGAATTATTGGGGATTGAAAAGTGTTCACTTTAAAACCTATAAAAATGTTTTATGTTTTAAAGGATAATTATGAATACTTTAAATGAAATTATAAGGGAAAATTTCATATGTAGTTTCATAAAAAATAAAAAATTTGCATCAACAAGACTTTTTTAGCACATAATCAAAATGATACCTAATGAAAATTCATTGCATACCTTTTTTGTCTTGAATATAATGAATAAAATAAATATTATACTTAAATAGAATTATGTTATGAAAGTATGTATCTAATCCAAAATACATTCATATCATACATATATATTATTTCTGATGCTTAAATGAATATGTTGATGACCTAAAAGTATTTGAGTAAAAAAATAAACTCTGATTGTTCAGGTTAGATTCAGTTTGTTAATGAAACTTATTTACAATTTTTATTTTATTTTATAAATATAAAATTTATTGTACTTCAGCAGTGTAAAATTGATATATGAAATTTCATTTGGATGCAATTCTCTTCTTTTTGAAGAAATAAATATAATAAATAATTGATTAATTACTGAGAAATATTAAAATATTCAAAAATTCAATTCATTCAACCATCAAGTATAAAAAAACAAGTTCAAGTTTTTTTGTTAAAAATGAACATCATGATATGATATCAATGATTGATTGAATACAAATTATACATTAGAAGTTTTGTTCCACTAGGTTCTCTTATTTTATTGTATAATTCATGACACATGAGTGCATGTTTGATTACCTTCTTGTTAGTACAGTAGAACCCTCGTATAAAGTACAGCCTAGATAAAGTACATCTTCGTACAAAGTACATTTTTTTTGAAAGCAATATCTTTTAGTTTTATATTAAAAAATCTTTGTAAAAAGTACAGGCTGCTCCTTCCACAAGTAAGCCATGTAGTTCCATATAAGGTATATCAACACTCTACCTAACTTGTAGAAGCAATGAAACAAGATCGGAAGAAGAGTTAGCTTGTGTATCTCAGCACGAAACTAACTATTGTTCTTGACGAAGATCATAGCATCAGGATCACAACAGAGTAGTTCAAAGTCTCCAAAGGACAGTCCAGGCTGCCAAGTCATAGCATCAGGGTCACAACAGAGGAGTTCAAAGTCTCCAAAGTTACAGTCCAGGCTGCCTAGAATTGCAGAATTGCCTTACTCAGTGAGAAAGAGAGTAATGGCTCGCTGTCGAAAGCAAAAATTGTTAAATCAAACGACGTCAACATTGATTTATGAAGATGGTTTGCCATTGCTTGTGCAAATGAATATTCGTTCAGTGGACCAATTCTGCAAGAGAAAGCTAAACAAATTGCTCAAAAATTGAAGATCAAACCAAACAAATATTCGTTCAGCGGACCAATTCTGCCAGAGAAAGCTAAACAAATTGCTCAAGAATTGAGGATCAAACCAAACGAGTTTTTTGCATTAGAAGAATGACCATAAATAAGAAGCAGCACAACAATGATAGTATTTTACAAGATCAGCGAAGAATCGGAAAATGTGAATTTTGAGCAAGCTAAAAATTGTGTTTGCTATCCATGTTGAAAAAAAAATCTCGTCTTTAACATGGACAAGACGAGATTTTTTTTTCCGTGCATTGTCGGATTGAACATTGAATCACGTTAAACAGTTATGTAAGGGCGGGAAGCAAGAAAAAGATCGACTTACTAAAGCTCTGACTTTCTCAACGATGGGCAAAAAATTGCCATCATTGATCATTGACAAATCAAAGAATCTGAGATCCTTTGATGATCACGATATGAGAAAATTTAAAGCCAAGTATTATCACAGTGCAAAAGCTTGGTAGACACATTCGTTATTTGATCAATAATTGAAGTATCTTGATGATCATTTTAAGTGAAAAGAGCAAAAAATCTCGCTTTTTCTGAAAAATGCCCCAGTCCATATTGTTGTTGAGATCACAGTGCTGTCAAACATCAAAGTGCGTTTCTTTATGCCAAATCTCATTTCTGTCCTGCAAACATTAGATGTTGGTATAATTTGCTGCTTGAAGGCGCTTGTCCAAAAGTTTCAAGTCCATACCATATTGGAGAAGATTAAAAAATTTGTTCATGCATCAAAATTTGCAAAGAAGCTCGCAGTTCTAGATGTAGTAAAGTTCATGGACAAGCCATGATACTTGTTAAAAGAAAAAAACAATGCAAAATTGTTTTGAAAGATGTGGATTTGTTGTAAATCACAATGTGACATAAGACAACAGTACGATCACCGAATAAGAAGAATAGCTTGCTAATCTTGCTTTCAGGATTGACATTGATCGAGATAGGATAGTCATTAAAGAGGACTTACCAGAATTTGAGGTAGTTGAAAAGCAAACTTTGATACGCCAACTAATCGAGGAGCACACTGATGTTGCATACAAGGACGATTTCAAAAATTCTCTTGTTGAATCCGGAAACTCGGAGTAGACAGAGGTTGCAGAAGTAATCTTCATCTCCCAAGCAAAAGAAATGGTTGCTCAATTGATAGGATTTGAAAAAGACAATTTTTGTTTAGTGAGTACCTTAATCTATTGAACTTGAGTGCTAGTGTCAAGCATTTTTTACAATTTGTACTTAAAACAATAAAAAATTTAACACTTTTTCTTGTGATGAAATAAACTGTGAATTTGTGAGTTGGTAAAAGAAAAATCTATGGTAAGCTCTCTTTACAAAGTACACATGTACTATAAGGTACAAAGTTGTTTTATTTTGGAGCAAATAGTGTGTACTTTATACAGAGTTTCTATTATAGATTGTAGTAGGAATCAAATTACTTTGAAAAACTTTTTCAGTTTTTTGTGCTTGTTCAATAATTGAATATTTGTAAATAATAAATATAAATATATACATTCTCTTTTCCTTATGTATATGATTTTAAATTTCATCTATAAAGTAATGAAAGCCATTATTTGTTTTGATTTGAACAAATTTGTTATTGTTTTTCTAAATGATTTTTTGATATATAGCAAAATCTTGGCAATAATTATGACATACTACAACAAGACTATAAGTATGCATGACATATACTTGGATCTATTGTTTCAATTATTGATGGCAGCGGAACAAATTTATTTACCAAAAAAACCATAGAATATAATCATTGTGTTGGAAAAAAAACATTTAAAGTATTATTTGGATGAGAAAATTTGCAGTGAAGATCTATCATATACCATTGGTTTATTTGAAATTTCAAAAAGAGTTATTCAAACAATAAATTAGATATACAAAGTAATGTCAACACTTCAACAACGCAACATGACGATTATGCATGTGAAGAGCAAGAAATAATTTGCTAATTCCCTCACATGCATGTCATATTTTGATCATGTTTTAGAAGTGAAGTATCAAGTTGATTGGTGAAGAAAAATAAGCCATGCCACAAATTGAAGAAATTATGATAAGATTACAAGCTGCACAGTAGAAAAATGCTCAAGACTTGAGATTTCACAAGCAATTTATATGAATTTTGCAAGATCAAAAATTATGCAAAATGATTTTGTCATAAAGTCATGATAGCGTTTTATGTCATGTTTAAACAATTAATTCAAATTTTTGAAATTTTCTTCTATTGATCTGAAATAAATTCAAAGTTCAAATTTTACACTCAATCTTAAATCAAATTTCATTCTTATACTTTGTAATAAATTGACAAAAATTGTCAACTGATTGATTTTTTTATCAATTGTCATTGAATAGTAATAAAAAATTTATTATAATATAAAAAATATCTGAAATTTCAAATAATTGTCAATTTTTTTGAAAAAATTGCAATATGATACTATCTTATTTTAAAAGTGATTTGCAAAAAACACAAATTTTTTTAATTATAGTTATATGAGATTAACATTTTATCCATTTATAAAGTTTGTGAAATGTACAAAATTATATTTATCTTGGTTTTCTTAATCTTTAGTAATTTAGGCTATGATACATGTCTATGTTTTTGCACTTGTATTTTTAATAAATTTTATTCAACTTTAAATCATATATAATGATAATGAAAAATCTCAGGTTTATGTTACATCCTAGTGTTATGAACAAACATAATACTTAGT